CCCCTGCTGTCCGCTGCGCATCTCGACCGTGCACCCGTTTTGGCTGCGTCCACCTGACTGCAAATCCCCACGGTCACTCCCGTCCACCAAGCGCGTCAATCATCGCCCCCCTCCCCCCAATCACCCCTCCTCGTCGCATTCTCCCACGCTCTGTGAAGGGAAAGCGCTGCGCCCAAACAGGCCTCATGCTCCCTTTTCTCCTGATTGAAACGGTAAAAGACATCCCCTTGTTTGGAGTCCTACTCGGACTCTCAATTCTCTTACTTGGAGGAGTTGACACATCAACCCCCACGTCTCTTGTTGGACTTGCATCCCTACCTTGGGTGGATGGCCTCCTCAGGCTCAGGTAGGTAGCTGTGCAGCTCAAAGTCCAACGTTACCTCCAGCCTCTCCCTCTCGCTCCAACTTTCCCCGACTGCCCACTGAAGCAGACAGGGGATTTGATTGCCTGGCATGGGGTCCAACCTCGCTAGCGTTCCCAGAGCTCCGGACACGGGCTCCAATGCCCTGGATATCGAGTCCCATCCCCATGATCCCATCAAACAGTCCCATCATGTCTTTTGGATGGCCTGGATCGGCTCCTGCTTCGGGTAAAGTCGACATTCTGACATGTCTTAGCGATGGCCTACCGGTGAGGAAGGTCACGACCAGTTGCAGTGCAGGGAAGATCACAGTCGCATGTTTCGAGATACCGTGACATTCACGCGCAACTTATCACACCTTCTCGAATAAGCAAAGAGCGATGCTGCCTTTAGGACTCCTCTCCCTGAAGCTGGAGGTGGATATTCTACCAATGCTTCTTTCAGGCTGCTGTGATAGGCATGTTGATGGGTCGTTTTGGGCTGCAAAGGTGTGTCCTGCAACATGGTCTACAGCCCCAAAAGAGTCATGAACCTGGGAAATTGAAGCCATGGGTTCGGGCCCGCCCGCCCGCCTGCTTGGTTTCCGGCATCTCTCCGCGGCCGCCTCGGTTTCGTGATGCTCTGCACAGCCGCGCCCCTTGCTGGTGCTGGGATACATGCGCCTTCTTCTGCTTTCTCCCCCCGACGACAGGGGATGAGAGAGAGAGATAGCGCCATCCGATGCTTTGGAAACTCCGGTGGAGATTTTTCATCCTGTCTCCCGGTCCCAACCCATGATGTCGGGCCTCAAGCCGCTGCAGCTGGTGGATATTTTGCAATCTCGCCTCATGTCATGACGATACTCCCAGGAGATGAGCACGGGGCACCCGTCCGACGTCAGTGACGGCTTGTCCGCGCGATCGACAGACGTTATCTGCCCCATGCCGTTTCCTCGTTGTTTCTAGAGAGAAGAGGCTCGTCCCGCAGGCGGGACAAGCATCATTGTCCATGGGATCCTGGAAGCCCGTTCCTCTCTGCTCTGCTTATCTTTGAAGCCCTCATGGTTCACAGGAGAGTCCGCGCGCTCATCAGATGAGGAGCCAGGATCGAGGTTTGCGACATCTCTTCCCCTACGAACGAACTGCCTACCTGGGAAATTCGGGGGTGGGATTGCCTACTCGAGCAATTCGGTCCCTTCCCTATTCGGGGCAAGATACCAGAGGCTCGCCTCGGGTCCTGAAAAGGAAAAATAGCGGAGACTTGGGAAATCCTGCCCATGACTTCGTCTCGCTCCATCTTCATGTGATGATTGAGGAATTTCGAGCAGGGGTCGCTTGTTCATGCTTTTAGGAATTTATTGACTCGAAACTGGGAAAAAGCAAAGCACTGGCAATGCTGAAGCAAGAGGTAGTTACCTAATTACCTATGAAGAAGGATTCACTCGTCACGTCGTGCCCACCACTTAGACGGCAGCTCGGGGCGTCCTCGAAAACGACAGGCCAAGTCCCAGCGCATCCGAGTTTACGCGGGTCAACCATGTTCCCCCAAACCAGGCGCTGCCGGAAAGCCTCACCACGACATGACCATTCTCCTTGTATTTATTTCCTACCCCCGCAGGTCGAGGATTAGACGACGTTGTTCTTGAAGCGTCGCGGGCTGGCAAGGCACTCCCTGCTCGAAAGAGCGAAAGAGACCAAAGACCACTCCACCTGCGCTGATGTGGAGGAGTCAGAAGCTCCGCCTGACCTCTCGAGCCATCCGTTTGGGGAATCTAGATCTGGACACGCGGGGAAACAGAACAAGCGCCGAAGCTGGCCGGGCCTGCGAGCCAGCGCAGCCAACCGGTGGCCCAGGACTCGAGGTTGTCTGCCTGATTTGAGAGACGGCTGCGCCAGTTACAGAACTCATGTATCCTGTCACGGGGGGATCATGCATGCAGTGTTGATTTTCCTGTGGGAGACCCATGGGCGCGCAACTTGCGATCGAGGGCGAAGAACCTGATTGACTGTGCCTGGCCCGGATCCCACAAATCAAGCAGCAGTGAGCATGGGACCTCAGGGGACCCAGCCCTGGAAAGGGCGATAATTGTCAAATATCACAACAAAAAGCAATGCATAACAGAAACAACATCAACCCGCGGCGGCCGGAAGGGCTATTGCGGGGCAGAGGAGTGATAGGCGGCATCACGAGGTCAGCTGGGGGGGCAAAAAATACAAGTACAGGTGCTGGCCATGGGAGCGGCTTGGGCGTCTCCGGGGACGAGAGCCAGTCAATCCAAGCCTCTGCCAGGGGGCCCCGCGTCAGCGCACCGCCGCTCGCCCTGTGCGATTCGACGACGGGCTGTTCCCCTGACCTGCGACAGCTCACAGAACTGACCTCATTCCACCCTGTCACTCCTGCTTGTTTCTCGTCGTCCAAGGCACATACACACAAAAAAAAAAAGCAGGCAGCCTATCCAGCATCGGGAACGGGCAGATCGCCAGCAGCTGTGCATCGATCGCTCCGGGCATGTCACGTCTTCCCCCCAAATGGCAGACCGGCGATCGGGTCGCAATTAGATTTCAGGTCACGATGCATGGCATGGCATGGCATGGCTCGCTGCTGGTGCCTCCGACTCATAAGTAATTTAAACAACAGCAGGCGGGCGATTTGCATTGCTTGCTGGTCGCTTGGTGACATGGAAGGGCTCATGTGATGGCTTCTGACACGGACGCGAGCGTCAGTGAAATTGGGGGCGGGACCCTGCTAATCGTCATGCCTTTTACGAGGGCGCTCGGGGACTGGGGGGCCGCTACTCTGCCTGCCCAAGAGTGCTGATGACCTCGCTGTTGGGTGACGAGAGGTGCTTCCAAGGTGCTGTGCTTCCGTGCTTCCTAGGAGGATTCTGGGGTCCACGGGTGCCTGTCTGGAAGCGGCAGCACCTGACTTGCAAGTCGTCGGCAGAGTCTGGCCTGATTTGGTATCGCGGGCCAGGCGCCTCGGGGGATCTCGACGACTGGCCCCGTCAGGCATTTGGGCCATCGGGATCACCTGCGTACCTACGGTATCGACTCGGTCGAGCTTGGGGGGCCCTGTGTTCTGCTGGGCTGGGCTGCGACGAGAACAGGGCCCCAGCCACCTGTGTCTCTAGGCTAGAATGCCAGTGCCTTACTCCGGAGGCCATCCTATGCCGTTCTAGGCAGTATTTAGTGCCTTTCGGGTAATTGGAGAGACGGGCGGGGCGACATCCAGGCTGGACCGATGTGGTGGTGCTGCCGAAGACAATCATGTGACCGAGGTACCTCCTCCAGAGCGGTCGAGTCCAGGCGAGGCTCGTCGAGCTGAAAGTGCTACCATAAATGGCTTAGCTTGCGAATGACACACTACTCCAAAATAAGAAGTATTTACGCAGCCCTTCAGGCAATGCTGGACTCCACATACTGTCTCTTTGGGAACAGCGCCATCTCATCCCACCCAGAGACTCGAGCTGGTCTAGGTAACTACCTACTCCGTAGGAGACTCGCACGCTCCATTTGAACAATTGATTCCCGTTGTTTGCTCTGCAGCTCATACCACCCGACTTGCTGGAATTGAAGGGAAAACCCAACATGTTTTCCCCGTTCCCTGCCCAAGGCAACACAAGCAAACATCGATTCGAAGGGGCGGCTGTTCGGTATCCAGGCCGGTAATTAAGGTGCGTGCCCCTGGAAGAGTGGGAGAGGGAAAGAGACCTGGGCAAAACAAGTTCAGTTGAGATGATGGGTTGCGGTGGGACGGTGGGACCAACGGGGAGATATCACATTCCCTCCCTTCTGAGAGGTCTTCTCTGTGCTTGATGCGCCAGCAAAGGCCCCTCCGGCCGCCACCCTCCTCCCCGTCCTAGTCGGGTGGGGAAGCGAACCTGAGCAGAAAGGTACGTACCTGGGTACGGAGGTACGGAGGTACGGGGGTACGGGGGTACGGGGGTACCTGGCCGGGTAGGTACGTACCCTCCTGTGCCCCATGTCATGTGTACCATGTACCCGACAGGGTTTTTGGCGGCGGTGGAGTTGGGTGGGAATGGCTTTCACCGCGACTCTGGCTCTCGCTCCTCCCTCCCACCACCAGCACAACGGGGAGCCCACCCCCCCCCTCCCCAATCCCGCACCCAAACTGGTCGGCCTCTGCGCTCTCCTGCAACAAGGATGGGCAATAATTACATCTACATCTCCCTCCCCACCGGCGCCATCCCTCCTCTTCCCCATCTTCCAAACTCCTGGGAACAGCTGCACAACTCCACGACCGCTTCGAGTCGACTACACACGCATTCGCACAGGTCCAGCATAGAGCACTCGGACCTCAACGCAGAGCAGCAGCATCGAGTATCGTCCTCGGCTCTTCATCACCACCACGCTTCCCGAGGGAGAACACCTCGTCGTACCGCCTTGGGACGAATCCACTCGAGTGAAAACCCAGGTCCGCATACGATAGAATAGCGCAAACATACTCAGACTCGACAATTACCAGCCGGCTCAACCCTCCAGCTATCGGTGTCGACTCGATCCTCTTCTTTCTCTCGCACAGAGAATTACATCATTGCCGACTCTCGCGATCGGCTATCGCGAAATCCCCGTCACGATTCATTCTGATCACCTAGACTTCTCTGCTCGAGCCTTCGAGCAGTCACATCCAGACTTCGCAATGCCTTCAAGATTAGAAACACCTGTCTTGCAGGTAGACGCCAATGTTATTCACAAGGTCGACACAACCAATGCCCAGAACCTCTTCAGCATGTGGACAGGTGAGTCGCTGCTCCTACCGGGCCCCTTCACACGCCAGCCAATACTAACAGACGCCACCACTTCTTAGTCTTTGCACGATGCGCCGACTCTGTTGCTCAGGGCCGAAGACTAGAGAACCTGTCTTGGAGGTTATGGACGCGCGAGACCTTCTGCGTGGACAACAGCGACGCCAGCAGCACCGCCAGCACGGCCTCCCTGCCCAGGAATATTGAGCACTCCGAGAGCAATTCGACCGAGGACATCCCCCAGCTGTCCGGCAGCGTCGACTCTGTCGCCGACGAGGAGGCCGTCGAGTTCAGCGCACAGTCAGCACCCATGGAGATCCTGCGCCCCAGGATACTGCGACAAGACTCGTGTGCCAGCAGCCGGAGCCGAGGCAAGGAGCGCCACATCACATCAGATGACCTCGAGAAGATGGTCGCCTCCATTGTCCAACAAAAGGAGCCTCTGAACGCGCCCCTCCCCGAGATTGCTTCTTCCTACAACCCGCCTCAACCCGAGACCAAGGAGCCCCTACCGGCTTTTGAGCACTCCGGGTCCACCACGACCGAGTCGCCCTCCAAGGCCTCGGACGCGCCGTCTTTCGAGTCTCCCCAGCAGCCCTCCTCTCCCGAGCTCGCCGCCTCCCGCAGCAAGACCACCGTTGTCCGAGGCTTCTCTCCCTCCCAGATGCCCACCTACCGATCCATGCCGACGCCGCACAAGGCCTCTTCTGATGACTCTATTCCCGAGCCCAACTCTTCTATCGCACCCAAGCTTGTGCAGCCCAAGAAGCAGCCCAAGTTTGCTCTTGGTGGTTCTTCATGCGAGGACTCGATGAGCGACCAGGCCCACAGCCTGGACCTTCGCAAGCAGCCTGTGCCTCCGCCTAAGCGCAAGATGTTCCAGGTCGGCGGCTCGTCCGAGGAGGATGGCTCCCTCAAGAGCGCCATGCACTCCTCGCGCAACTCCCTCCTCACCGCCCAGAAGAAGCAGGCATCCTTCAGCAACCAGCTGGTCACTCGCATCCCATCAGCTCCCGCCGTCATTGACGAGTCGGAGACCGAGGGGGACGACGTTGACGAGAGCGCCATCGACGACGATGACGACTCGTCTGACTGGGAAGACTCGATCGAGGACAGCGGCAAGTCGAGCATTGACGACAAGACGTTCTTCCAGCGCGTCGACTCCAAGGTCAACCTGACCTCGAGGCGATCGCTCATCACGCTCATGCTTGCGCAGAATGACCGCCAGCAGAAGCTCGGCAACGCGGCGTCTCAGTCAACCTCGGCCATCAGCCGGACACGTGGCGCCCGCCAGCCTCCATCCCTGGTCGCCTCTCCCAACGACTCGGACGAGGCTCCCCTCATGATGCGCCGTGGCACTCGTGGTGCGCCCCTGCGGCCCATCAACGAGGTCCCTCGGTCGTCTGCGCAGCCCATCATGACCACCACCAACAACATTGCCCACCAAGCCGCCCTGTCCCCGCGCACCACCCGCCGCAATATGCTCTCCACCGAGCTTACCGAGTCTCTCCGCCGCCACCTGCTCTGGGAGAGGTCGCAGAAATCATCGACTGCCAATGCCGTCCTCAAGCGCCGCCACACCTCGCACGATGTGGCCAACCTGAAGCAGTACCCGGAGAAGGTTCACATCAACAAGGACACCGATGTGCCGGCTAGCAGCTGGGACCAGTACTTCAACAGGGATGCATTTAACGGCTACCACTCCAAGGGCTGGTAATTCCATCGGGCTCCCTTCCACACAACCACCACAAAGTGTACATCATATATCCATTCGGCATTGCGAAGCGTTTTCACACATCAGCACCCGCCGTGACCGGGTCGGCGTTTACTCATTTTGATTTTCATTGAGAGCTTTTTTCTTTTCTTCGACAAACATTTGGCGAGCTCACGCATTGCATCATTATTTTATCATCTGCCTGCCATGGCCCGACACCCCCTCACACGTACTCGACAACCATGGCGGAAGCGCATGGTTGCCTTTCATTCTACCTTATACCACCAAAGCACGGTTCGGCGTTGCTTCCAAACCACATGATACCAGGTCTATGAATTTTTTTGTTTTCCTCTCAAGAGAACCGCCCACATCGACTCGGATGGGGCGGGCTTGTGTACACCCTATGGCTCTTCAAAGATGCGGAGGATGGATGTTACAGGCAGTGGGCGACCAATTGGCACTCTACGGAGGGAAGGGGAAAAAGAAAAGCCTTGTTTTGCTACGTTGATGATGCCAAGCAAACAAAAAATACACACACTACAGAAAAAGGGCGAGGCACCAAAAAGATACCCTACGAACTTTATGAAGACAGATGCGTCTCTCACGGTTTAGAGAATCAAGCGAAAGAGAAGCGGGGGTGGAAGAAAAATAGCAAAACTACTTGAAGAGCTTCATTCAGGTCGAACTACAAAAATTCTAAAATATTATCAAAAACTAATCATGTCTTCTTCTCATCTCTGATCTTTGTGTGATTGTCAAGATACGCTGTGTGTGTGTGCCTATGTGAAAAGTGTAAATTCGGCATGTGTTTGTTGTTCTTTGTTGGTCCCGGCGACACCTCGTGACACGGATGATGACCGTTGAAGGACTGCAACCCAAGGACTTGTCCACACCTTCAAGGCCGGCGGCATGTGGTTTTAGTCAGGGCGGCGGGCGGCGGGCGGCGTTGGTGTGTGGTGGTGGTGGTGGTGGTGGTGTTGTTGGGTGTCGGTTTGTTGTTTGCAGCAGGCTTTTCGGCATGTGGGAGCAGGGAGAGAGGAGAACCGGAACCCTCCTCGGCCGCAAAAGCCTTGGGTCTGTCGGCACTCACCGATGCCGCATCACATCACATCACCTTGGGCCCGCCGCCCCTTGAGCTGTCAGCGCGCGCGAGAGAGATCGCATGGCTGACCGAATCGCTCACCTGTGATTTCCAATGTTGCTTGGCAAACCTTGACTAGCACATGCAATTACGAGGTTTTTTTCCCCCCCTTCCTTCCTTACGATGAGGATGCATTCCTTGGAGGAACAAGCATGAAGCAGCAACATGTGATTGTAGTGAGTCTTTCTTGCTCAATGGTCTTCTTCCCTGTCTGGCATCTGCTCCCTTCTCTTCTCTTCTCTTCTCTTCTCTCCGAGGTCAGGGAGTGAGTTGCGGCGCCACCCGGTCTTTTCTTGGCCGGTGTTCGGTGTTTGTACGGGACGCGTTCCTCTTGATGACGGGGTTGCGACCTGGTGAATCTTGCCACTACCCCGGGGGGGAGGTTCAAGCTTCTCTTACCTACTTTCCCCTCCCTCGAGTATCCCCTATCCTCCCCTTGCGCCGGGGGACGTTTCCTTACCTACTGGCCCAACTAGGTAGTTCTGACAACAGGTCTACTGAAATCTTGCGTGCAATGCGTGCGCGCGCGCGGTGAGCGCGTTTTCAGTCTGTTCGCCGTGCTATTTATGACCGCGTTGGGTAGCGTGTAGGAGTATTGGTGGTGGTTCATGCATGTGAAGGACCCCCCATCGATCGAATCAGCAACGGTTGTCTACCTAAGTAAACTAATGATGATTTCCTTTCACCCACACACTTTCAGATCACACATAAAAAAACGCGTCCTTTACACGCGCTAGGTTTTTTTTTTTTTTTTTTTTTTTTTCGTGCAATTTGATGGAGAGACGGGGGGAAGATCAACAAAGAAGATATCTACGGAGTAGGCAAAGCAAGCAAGTGTGTCCCGTGGAACAGGTTTGAAAAGGCGTGGATCGCCGTTGGGCGGCGGCGTGCTCCGCGTACTAATACGAGTTTCAATCCTCCTTTGTTCGTTTTACCCCATGGAGAAATTTCCATTTTAGGTCTTCGATGAGACTTGTCACTCGCCTCCCATTGTTCTTCGACCCGGCCCTTTTTTCCCCCTTCTTGTTCTTTGCGTAAGTCTGGCAACTCCTCTTTAGACTTGGTCCTGTCTATTTTGTGTTTTAGGCGGCTTTGTCCGAGAGTTGATTGTTTTGGTGGTTACTGTTTGCGGGGATGGAGATTCTGGTTTGGCGGCCGGACCTTTTCCCAGCATGTAACCGCGGAGGTGTTTCTCGGGCATTTTTCTTTTCTTTTTTCTTTTTAGATAATTCTCTTTCTAGTTATTTTCCGGGTCTTGAATGAAGATTCGATAATTTATCTCTTGGGTCTAAACAGATGCTCTATATCCAGTGGTACCATCGATCTCCAGGCTGGAAATCCTCCCCGTTCGGGAGTGTAGGTCTGTCTGTTGAGATCAGTTTCTTACGGCCCGCCGGCAGTGCTGACAACGGGTCCTTCGGAGGCATCGCCAGCTCCAGTTAGCGATGACTCTTCCCGGAAACAGCTTTGGCACGCTGAAGACAAGGTATGTTTGGTGGTAGCGTGCCCCGAATCAGGTTGGCAAAACTCTGACCCAAGGGTTGGCAGCTATATTTCCCCTTTGTTTCTTTTCCTTTAGGTTCATCATCATCATCATCTACTTGCTTCTTAGTTGAATTTGTCTCTCTCTTCTACTACGTTCCCGTGCCGTCGTCCGCGGCGGCCCTGATGTCACCGTCGTACCTGTCAAATGACCAACGTGCAGCGAACAAGTTGGCAAGGGTGCAACAATTAAACTTTTGCCGCCCCAAATTGCGTCGCTGCCAGGCAATACCGAAACTCGGTAGAGAGAGTCCCCAGTCCTCTAGATTGAGCAAAGTGTGTGTGTGTGTGTGTGTGTGTCGAATAATCTACCGGGGCGGCGCATCCGACCTGCTCGATCTCGTTCTGTCATTTCTGATCTTTTCTGATGCTTCCACACCCCCCCTTCTCCCCTCTTCCCCGCAAGATTGACACACACAGAGAGAGACAGAGACACCTGGATCGTGCGTCCCGACGAATTGATCCGCCGCCCCGGATTCCCCTTGAGCCCTCTTGAGCGGCAGATCAATTCTACCACAGGTCTGGATATATCTGCTGAGTGCTACAGCAGGTCGGGCCATGTGACCCTACTTGCAATATCTGCCCTCATTTTTTCCGCCCTGCTATGGGAGACTTTCGAGGTGGGAGATATTCCGGACTGAACGCTTCTCTCAACACCCTGAGAAATGTGCGAGGAGAGACGAAGCTAATGGCGAAAGCCGCAAGGCTGATGTGGCGTCTATAGCCTGAAGCCCAGGCCAGAATACAAAGTTCCTAGTCTCCGACGAGGAGCAAAAGGTCGACGGCACCACCGGCCGGTATACGAGGAGGAACTAGAACTGCAAGCGGACCTCGCTCGGAGCGTTCACTTTAGGGGCGGGCCTCGCAGCCGCGGGCCTAGAGAGGTTCTACCTACTGCCTGCCATTGTAATGGGGCACAATATGCTTAGGACCTAGCCCTACTCTTTCTTGCCTTACAAGTTACGGAGTAGTCGACGTAGATCTCACTGAGAGGGATTTACGAAGGACTATGGGGACTGAGAATGCAGAGTTCCCTCGGTTAAGCCTGAACGAGGGGAGATTGGTCCTCCGTCCAAGCCTACCTACAAGTACGTAGCTGGGCTGAGTGCAAGGCGGCGGCCCCGCGTGCGCCTGGGGCATGCGATGCCGTGGCTCTTTTGGACCCCTAAAACGGTCGCAGGGCTACTCTCGTTGACCTTAGGCGCCGTGGCTGGCGGGCGGGCGGCCGAAGAGGGGACATCATCGGAGGGGTCGGTCCTCCTCTCCGCCACGCGCCCCCCCCCCCCCCCCCCCCCCCCCCCCCCCCCCCCCCCCCCCCCCCCCCCCCATCAAATGCTCCCAAGCGCCCCGGTGTCGGCATCCCGCAAAGGGACTCTGTGAACCCCCGCGGGTGCAAGTGCACGCTTATTGTGACCAATTCCCTATGTTAAGAGTCACTTTGAGATCTTGGCATAACCATGGGCAGGACCGAAGACGAGGAAGGTCGTCGGACAGAAGATAACGCTCTTGCAGAGGGGACAAGCCCCTCCCGGGGAAGCGAGGGAAGCGCCTTCACCGCCCATGGGCAAAGTTTATGCGCTCGGCCAACTAGTTACTGCGAGTTTAGCTATGAAAGAGCTTGGTTGCCGAGTCCTGAATGTCCCCGCTCCCTCGGTGTCACCGCTACTGCGTGTCATTCTCTTCGTTCGATACACTTTGCAAGGGTTCTCTTTCCCTAGTAGTTGTACAGACAGACAAGCAGACTGCGCGCCATGCACGACACCGAGGACCGGACCGGGCGTGCCCTGCTTTGGTGTTACCGGTACTGCTGGTGCGGGATGCATGTTGGGCAGATGGGACTTCAGGCGAGAGGTAGTTTCTCTCCGCTCGCGGACCGCACTGTTTATTAGCTCGCCGATGAGACTGGGTTTGCGAGCTAAGGCCCATACCGGGTTGACGTGCTTGATAGTTCCGATTTTCGTTCTCGCCATGTTCTTGTTCTTGTTAGTCAAAGTTGTTGACAGTTGGGATCGGCTAGGATAGGCATACGGAACTGGAGGGGGCTTCCCTGCCTCTCTGTTCATCTCCTCTTCTCTCCCCCTCGGCTAACAAACAACAAGGTTGGGACGGCTCCAGGCAGGCAGGACTGGCCTGTCTACTCCATAGATGCATGATGCCGTCTTTTTGCAGGCGGTGTGTGTTTTTGCGGCATGGGGCTTGCTTGCAAACAGCTTAGATGCATGGCACATTTTATGCCGCTCTTTTGTATTTTATGTCTTTTATTTTTATCTTACAACTATTCATTTATTCTTTTTTTTTATTTTCCTACGGGGGAAAAAAA